AGTTGGGTTTCTGAATGGACGTTCAACTTGTTGATTCCTGGCGCTAAAATCTGAGCAGCCCACTGCACCGGCCAAAACAGCGGCATTAAGATTGATGGTGCTTTTCTGACTCTGCACCAAGAACCACCGCACCAAGGCAGCGGCAAAACTGCCTCGCCGCCACAAGAGTCGCGCTGGCGACCCGTGGGGCTCCTCCGCTGGGAATCACCTGGTGCGTGAGCAGCAAAAATTGATCTGAAAGTGTGGCGTCCTCTCGTTCTCTGTGCCTTCAATGGCAGCTACAATCCCGAGCTGCTAGTGATCAGCCATCTTGGATCTCCCGCCTTAATCCTTAAGAGAGACTGGCAGTGAACTAATGCAGGTATCAGCCCAGTGATCCACCCACCTTGGCCTCCCAAATTACTGGGATTATAGGCGTGAGCCACCATGCTTGGCCTCATTTAACAAATATCTATTTGGCCCCACTCTGCTGTGTACAGTGCTAAAGGCTGAGAATACAACAGCAAACAAAACCAACAAGGTCCAGTCCTCAGAACTTTCCAACTACCGATTGACACTGAGACAAAGACAGGCAAATAGAAGGCAGTGTGATCACAAGCTCTTTTCCAGGCAAACACGGGGCACAGCACTGTGGACCGTGTAACCAGGACCCCACACAGTCAGAGAGTGTCAAGGAGAGGCTTCCAGAGAGTCAGTAACTCAGGAATTGAGATCCGAAGGCTGCTTAGGAGTGAGCCCCTTGAAATGAGGAGGGAAGTAGAAGCTAAACAGAGGAAAGGTTCCAAGGTGAGGAAGCCTGTGGCCCATGGGAGCAGATGAGACAAGTTCTATGTTACTAAGGGACACTAAATCTAGGAGGTGAGTGACAATGCTGGACAGTGATTGGGACTGGGTCCTGCAGGGCCTTGTCTGCCTTATTAAGAAGTTAAGCAGGGGGCCAGGCACGGGGCCATGCCTGTAATCCCAGCACTCTGGGAGGCTGAGGCAGGTGAATCACCTGAGGTCAGGAGTTCAAGACCAGCCTGGCCAACATGGTGAAACCCGGTCTCTACTAAAAATACAAAAATTAGCCAGGTGTGGTGGTGGGCACCTATAATCCCAGCTACTCAGGACACTGAGGTAGGAGAGTCGTTTGAACCTGGGAGGCAGAGGTTGCAGTGAGCTGAGATAGTGTCACTGCACTCCAGTCTAGGCAACAGAGGCTACGGCTCAAAAAAAAAAAAAGTTAACATGGGGCACTGGGAACCCACTGAAAGTTTTCAAGCAGAGCAGTGACATTGTCAATGTGCACTGTAAGAGAGTCTGGTTGCAGAATGAATAGAGTAGAGAAGAAGAATGCTGATACAGAGACTAATTTGGAGATTGTTTCTGTAGTTCTCATGTGAGAGATAGTTTCATGACCCTAAGATATTGGCAACTGGGAATGGAAAGAAGATGACATATTTTAGTAATATTTTTGAGGGAGAACTGATAGGATTCAAGGATAGATTAGAAGAGGGGGATGGGGCTGGGCACAGTGGTTCATGCCTGTAATCCTAGTACTTTGGGAGGCTGAGGCGGGTGGCTCACCTGAGGTCAGGAGTTTGAGACCAGCCTGGCCAACATGGTGAAACCCCATCTTTACTAAAAATACAAAAATAATTAGCCTGGCATGGTGTGTGTGCCTGTAGTCTCAGCTACTCAGGAGGCTGAGGATAATCGGTTGCAGAGAGCTGAGATCATGAGATCATGCCACTGCACTCCAGCCTGGGTGACAGAGAGCAAGATGCCATCTAAAAAAGAAGAAGAAGGGGCCGGGCGCGGTGGCTCAAGCCTGTAATCCCAGCACTTTGGGAGGCCGAGGCGGGTGGATCACGAGGTCAAGAGATCGAGACCATCCTGGTCAACATGGTGAAACCCCGTCTCTAC